CATCCATTCGCTCGATGGTAATTTGGGGAGCCTCGTTATCCCAATTGAGTTTAAACATGGAAGGCATTTTAGCCAGAGCATCTGCCAGCTGATTTTCTTCTCGCGGGAAGTGCTCGAAAGTAATCTGCTCAAAATGAGGTAACAATGTCAGGACATGTTCTTTATATGGGATAAGGTTAGGATGTTTAGTGTCCCACTCTCCTTTGACTTGACTGATGACCAAAGCCGAGTCCCTAAATACGACCAAAGATTTGATTCCCAAGTCTATAGCAGCCTTGAGACCAAAGATGCAAGCTTCATATTCAGCCATGTTATTGGTACAACTGAAACAAAGTCGGGCAGTGAAGGGTGTATGGTAACCTTCCGGAGAAATGAGTACCGCACTGATACCGTTGCCAAGTGAATTTGAAGCACCATCAAAGTACAGGGTCCATCGGGATCCTTGTTCAGGTCCGTCATACGGTCTGTTTCCTTCAATGTTGTCCAATGTCATGATGTCCTCGTCAGGGAAGTCGAATCTCATAGATTGATAATCTTCGACGGCTTGATGAGCTAGATGGTCAGCTAGTACACTCCCCTTTATAGATTTTTGGGTAGTATACTGGATATCATACTCTGTCAGGATCATTTGCCATCTAGCGATTCTTCCCGATAAAGCAGGCTTCTCGAAGATATACTTGATCAGATCCATCTTGGAAATCAGCAAAGTGGTATGAGTCAACATATACTGCCTTAGCCGGCGAGCAGCCCAAACCAAAGCGCAACAAGTTTTCTCGATCAGTGAGTAACGAGTCTCACAGTCGGTAAACTTTTTGCTAAGGTAATAAATGGCATGCTCTTTTCGGCCAGACTCGTCATGTTAGCCCAGCACACACCCCATTGAGTTATCCAGAACAGTCAGATACATGATTAACGACCTTCCTTCGACGGGTGGCATCAGAATATGAGGTTCTAGTAAATACTCCTTGATCTTATCAAAAGCAACTTAAAAATCATTGTTCCATTCAACTACCTGATCTTTCTTCAACAGTTTGAAAATTGGCTCACAAGTAGATGTCAGGTGAGAGATGAACCTCGCAATATAGTTCAAGCGTCCCAAGAATCCTCTAACCTCCTTTTCAGTACGGGGGGCAGGCATTTCTTGTATAGCCTTTACTTTAGCTGGATCAACCTCAATGCCTTTGTTGCTGACAATAAATCCCAAAAGTTTACCAGACCTAACTCCAAAAGTGCACTTGCTTGGGTTCAGTCTGAGCTTATACTCCTTCAACCTGGAAAACAGCTTTTGCAAATGACCAAGGTGTTCTTCTTCTGTCTGTGATCAAGCTATCATGTCGTCTACGTAAACTTCAATTTCATGATGTATCATATCATGAAACAAAGCTACCATGGCGCGTTGATAAGTTGCCCCTGCGTTCTTCAGTCCGAACGGCATCACTTTGTAGCAGAAGGTACCCCATTGCGTGACAAAGGTAGTTTTCTCCATATCCTCGGGGGCCATTTTGATCTGGTTGTATCCCGAGAATCCATCCATGAAGGAAAACACCTTGTGCTGAGCTGTATTGTCAACCAAAATGTTGATATGCGGTAGCGGAAAATCATCTTTAGGGCTAGCCCTATTCAAATCCCGATAGTCCACGCACATTCTGACTCTGATTTGACCATTTCAGTGATAAGCCCAATCTGGATCTTATACCGATCCTTATAATCGTCGAAGTTAGTTTTTGATTTGGACAATTTCACCTCAAGTTCTGCAATGGTCGCTCGCGCCCTCTTCAACTCTTTGGTAGGACAAGTCTCCCCGTCACCATAGACCATCTTCATATTTAGAATCCTTATCAAGGCAGCAGCGTCCTGGGCCACAAGTTTCCTCTTGCCCACCACGTCAAGGCCCTCGAGGAGCAATGACTCTGCCCATGGTACAACCAGAGATGGACCCCCCCTCAAAGAATCCCTTGTTGAGAAGGAAAAGAGGTAGCTCAAACTTATCCTCGGTAGTGTGCTCGATAAGATCTATCTGATAGGCACTCACGTGTGGCCACTTCTTAGTCGAAGTAGCCTACTTTGATGGGGATTGTTCCCCGGTGTTCGAGGAGGATGAAGTTTTAGACCCAGACTGTGGCTGAGTTTCCACCCTGGCAAAGCGAGTCTTGAGAACTTTCTTTGCTTGCTTCGCCCGATTTGGTGCGGCCAGCTTCACTACGCGATCCTGAAGGCTTGACATCCTCTTTACAACAAAAATTGAGAATAGTTTAGCAAACAAAAACTAAACACAAATAGGATGAAAAGAATGACAACTACCTAAGAGCCCTAAAGCCTCCTTGACAGTATCACACTCAAGGATCTCCATGGTGTTGATATGTCGAGCCTCAAGCACAGGCTCCCGACGATCATCAACAATGGTCTCCCCTCTCTTGGTCTCGCACTGAGCTAGGGCAAAACCATCAAAGAACACCACTAGTTTATTATAGCCAACTTGATCGCTACGCTTCTGCTGATCCGCCATCACGGTGTAATAGTTTGTGCCCTACTCAAAGTGGTAGAAACTCCAATGAAAATGGAACTTCGGGACCAACTTCCTCATTTATTTCCCGCTCTCGTTGTGAATGGGATGGATGAGGTAGTATCTATCCTTGAAAGTGCAGACCGAATCTGAGAACACCTTGAATAGCCTCCTCAACTGCTTCAATGAAACCCAACTATGTTGCCTCTTTGAAGACTGCAGCTGAAGGTGGAAACAGTGAAAAAATGGTAGCACCAATTTCAAGGTACTGACAAACAATCTCGAATGCCCGGATAAAGCCGATCAAGTTCAGATGCAGTTTAAAGGGTGCCAGCTCTAGATGACTAAAGATGCCCACCTAGAAATCACTAAAGGGCAGTCCAAAATCCACATCTCTGAAAAAGTACTCGTACACCGTGAAGTGATTCCTCGCAAATACCGAGCATACTCATTGGTCGGGTTCGGGCTGTATGACCGCCCAATTTCTGTCAGATTCTGCGTGACTAGCACCCTCCCCCACGAAGGTAAAAGATTCTTTCGGGTAGAGAGCAAAATGCGAGGCCATTTCTTGGGGATCCTATCTGACCCAAGTCAGGTCGGGAACATTGGTCGTATCACTATCCTCGTCATTGTGGGCCATTTTAACCTGAAAAGTTGAGGAAAATAGTAAATTCGACGATCAAATCAAATTCATTCTTCCACCGCAAATCAAGTGAAAGGATGCAGAAGGCGCCCTCGGCCAAAGCCCTCGATTGACAATGAAGAAGTAGAAGAGACACCCCCACCACTAGAACTTTGGGTAAATGGGGGCTAAAGACTCAACGACGAATCCAGACATCGGACCCCGCGGGGAAGAAACTCCTTGATATGTGGGATATGAACACTAGATGAAGCTCATCGGAAACTTCATGAGACTCAATAAAAACTTCATGAGACCCATCAGAAACTTCATGAGACTCATCGAAAACTTCATGAGACTCATCAGAAGCTTCATGAGATTCGTCAAAAAACACATGAGATTTATTGGAAAGATCATGAGGTTCATCGTGAAACACAGATTCGTCACGACGACCTCCATGGACGCCACCATCACTAGCTCTACTGATCGCCCTAAACGGAACCTGAGTGCCTTCCAGAGAGGATTACAAGGCGGTCGACGTTTGAAAAATGGCTTAGCCACCGCCAAACACCAACAAATTCGTCAGACCTAAGCTTAAAAGCTCATCTAACTGGCATTTCGACTACTCTGAACGTACAAATCAAGAGAGAGCTAGTTGAAAGTGCTCAGGTGGTGGCAGCAACAATAACAGCGGCAGAATCCTCAAGAGTTTAGAGCAAGTGAAGAAGAAAATTTGGAAAACTTTGCAAATGATTTATTTCTTCCCCTATTTATAAATCCACTCCCAGGGCATGGAGACACGTGCCTACGACTAGGGAAGCGTGTCTCCAGCAACCCTAGTCTAGATAGTCATCATTGTGCATGCGACACGACATGTGGTCCTAGGGACGTGACATTTCACTTTTCAAAATTCCACCAGCCTTTTGTCTCCTCGATCGATGAACATCCCTCATCGAGCGCGAACGACAAACTCCCACATTCTCACGCGAGCATGGCCTTAGAGAAACCCTTAAAGCAAATCCATGGGCCGTTGGGAAAACCGCGAGCAAAGCCAAAACGCTTCCCATTGGCTCAAACCAACCAAGATCCTGGCACGAAGCTTCCCCGTCTTTCGATTGACGGACATGAACAGAGCGCTTTCCTCATCGACACACGAGCTGGTTTTAAGTCATTACTCATGTAACCAGAAGCAACGATTTGGGGGCTCTTGTTCTGGACTAAGCCAGCAACTATGCATGGCCCAAAAGCATTGGCCCAATCAGCCTAGGACCAACAAAGGACACGTTTCCCCTCTGTCCGACAACTACGATCGTGTGGTCAGTTGACCCCAGGCTCAACAAGACCACAACTACCCTCGACCATGCCTATACCCGCGATAACTGCTAATTTCGAGCATCTCTGCCTGAGATAACGACTAGTTTCAGCTCTTCCCAGGATAACATCCTAACAGTTACCTATTTTTAGGCCTAATATCCCAACCCAAAAATATGAACCAATAGTCAAGCATTAATAACATTATATAAATTTATTTCTATTTATAGGGACGCGGAGATATTGTGCTAGTTAAGTGTAACAAAATTGTCATTCCAACCGATTCAAAAGATATAAAAATGAGAGACGGTGGTGGAATTGGATGAAACACATACTATCATTTCAACTCTATTCACGATTTTTTTATTTTGAGTTCAAATACTGGATTTATTCACGATTTTTTTTACGATCCAAATGATTAAACATAACCATAACGTAATCTTAAGAAAATAAATATATTAAAAATAGTTGACCCGTCAAAATATACGTACTCCTTTTCAAGTTTGGTGGCCGGCTACATTACGGTACATATCAGAATCGGAGTGGAAGTAAACAAACAGATTAAGAATGGAAGCGCTCGTATGCAGAAAATTGGGCGACCCAACGGCCCCCCTGGAAGCCGATAACAGCTCAATCTTCGTATCCGTGAATCACCCAATCCCTCAACTGAATTCTCCTACATCAGTCAGAGTTAGAATCAAAGCCACAAGCTTGAATTTCGCTAATTATTTACAGATTCTCGGCAAGTATCAGGAGAAACCACCTTTGCCATTCATTCCTGGATCCGATTTTTCAGGCATCGTTGATTCCGTTGGCCCCAAAGTTACCAATTTCCGTGTTGGAGATCCTGTTTGTTCCGTCGCCGCTCTTGGATCGTACGCTCAGTATATAGTTGTTGATCAGAACGACTTGTGAGATTCCGCTCATCCTCTTCGCATTTTAGTGTCTCCGAAATTCTAATCTTAAGTTAGAATCAATTCTTATGGAGAAGTAGCAAACATAGGAATATCTATGCTTAAGTTTTTAGAGAAATGTACTTCAATTTTTATTTGCTCAGGTCATGTTTGTAAAGTTTTTGACTTTGAAGGTTTCGCGTGCCGGAAGGTTGTGATTTGGTTGCTGCTGGAGCACTTGCTGTGGCATTTGGGACTTCTCATGTTGCGCTATCTCATAGAGCTCAGTTGAAGTCTGGTCAGGTATAATAGTACAATGTTGTTTCGCTTCACTTTTTGGGCAATGCATGTTAAGTGGGTTGTGGAATTGTTTGTTTGTAGGTATTGTTGGTTTTGGGTGCAGCAGGAGGTGTGGGTCTTGCAGCTGTGCAAATTGGGAAAGCATGTGGAGCCGTTGTCATTGCTGTTGCTAGGTACTCTTTTGCTTTTGCATTTTTGTGTGCATAATGGGATTACGATTTGAGTAGGGTTTCGTGTGGATTTGCTTCTAGGCTTCTTGCTCTCATGATTTTCTTTGCTAAAATTAATTTATGGATCTTTATTTACAGAAAAGTCTTTGCAAAATTATACTTGTTTCATGGATACTCTTAATTGAGAGTTTCTTAACAAAATTGAGATGTGTAAGTTAAGTTAACTTCAACTTATATAATGAGAAGCATTTTATTGAGAAGTCTCGCATTGAATGTGATATGAGATGAAAATGTGTTTATGAGTACGAGACATTTTTCATCTTACAACTCAATTTACACAAACATGCTCTAGATCTCTGTATTTTAATATCTAACTTGGTATCCTTTGGAGTTGAGAGTTTCTTGTTTTGCATAATCTGCTGTCAGGGGAGATGAAAAGGTGCAGCTCTTGAAATCACTTGGTGTTGATCATGTGGTGGATTTGGGTCATGAAAATGTCATTGAGAGTGTCAAAGAGTTCCTCAAGGTCAGAAGGCTTAAAGGGGTTGATGTCCTGTATGACCCAGTTGGAGGCAAGCTTACCAAAGAATCTTTGAAGGTTCTGAAATGGGGAGCTCACATTCTAATAATTGGGTTTGCAAGTGGAGAAATTCCTGTCATCCCTGCTAACATAGCTCTTGTTAAGGTACATCAAGAACGAAGTTTCAGACTATGCAGTTATCTTGTCTTGCTTGATCACTAAATAACTTCATGCCTGATTGCTTGTTTCTTGATCTTATAATGCTTTATTCACATAGGTTTTGAATTTAAAATTACATTATGTATGAATCAATTGGAAAGAGATGTGGAGGGATTACATCTCCCATCAACATTGATTTGATCTCTCTTCTTCTCTTCAATGATTGATATCATGGCTTTAGATTTTGTTGTTTGATAAACCACTAGATATCCCACTTCCTAAAATAATGCCCGCAATTACATGTACCCATGTCGACAGACCCATACAATATAATACAAATAGAGTCTTGCTAATATGTGCCCTTAGGGGATATGCTATGGAACTAAACAGGGAATTAATGAAAAAAGTTTGTGTTGGAAAGAACAATTTTTACACTTTCAAGGTGTTGAATACATTCTTTCCAAGATTACATTTCCATGTTAGACAATGATGCTGAAAAATTCCTTCTTAAATACTCTTGTTACTTTATGCTATGTATCTAAAGCAGCACAAAACCCAAGGCCAAACAAAATGTCAATATAATACAGTCTTTTTCTATCTCATCAGTGATCACTAAACTACTGACCTATGGTCCTATTCCAAGGTTTGTGCGACATTTACCTGCTAAATGAAACTTTAGGATTAGAGTCCCTTTCTATCTCATCAGTCATCTCTAAACAACTGACCTATGGTCCTATTCCAAGGTTGTGAGTTGTGACATTTACCTGCTAAATGAAGCTTTAGGATTAGAGATTAGGCTGTAAAATACATAAACACCATTGTGATTAAATTCCTGCAACACTTTTGTGGTTAAAAATATTACAAATAGCAGACTAAACTAGCGAGATCATTGGATCTGTAAGCTCCGTTGACTCCTTTTTTTCCATTGCCCTCATTGCATATTTATATTAATTCTGCTATAGCTGGTATTAATTGATGGTTATTGTTCTTTTTTTTTATTAAAATCACTGGCAGAATTGGACAGTACACGGGCTTTATTGGGGTAGTTATAAAATACACCGCCCAGCTGTTCTTGAAGATTCTATCAAGGAGCTACTGTCTTGGTTGGCAAAAGGCTTGATTTCCATTCACATTTCTCATTCTTACAGCTTGTCAGAGGTTTGATATTTCCTTGTCTTAGTTGTTCAAATAATTTGTCTATTCTTTCTTTCTCTTTTCTCTAATTCAATGTACATTCAAGATTTGACCTATTTGTTGAAAGAGATGTCACTACTGATATAACTCTTTGAAGGAAATTATTGCTTTAGAGATTTCACTATTTACTACATCTATGATGGTTTAATTTTTTCTTTTGTGATTGCAGGCCAACCTTGCCTTCTCAGCCATCAAAGAAAGGAAAGTTATCGGGAAAGTGATGCTTGTATTTGATGAGAAAACTACAAGATCTAAGCTATGATCTTGCTAAAACTATGCTATTTAGTTGATGAAATACTTCTGGGCACTCAAACATCAGAGGTTCATACTGGAGACCAAGGAGATGCTAGTATACAAAGAAATCAAATAAGGAAGGAGCAATAACTGCCAAAATGCTGTATAACAGCAATGCTATTTAATAAAATACAATAAGGTGTTAGCTTAGGAAGAGTTTAGTATTGTAACTTTAAGGTACTGAGTTTAAACTTCCATGGAGACGGTTGCAAAATGACCATTAGTACCACTTTCAATGTGGTGAACACACGTTCCATCCATCTTTTTATATTTGTTAAAAATTAAAGTGTCTTTTAAGCATTTGCTTTCCTAATGATGAGCATTACCATGAATAGTTTACTTATGAATAATATTCTCAATCAAGAATCAGTTCACACGTGTTGTCTCTAGTTAGTTACTCTAAGAGGAATCCCAACACCTCTACGTTTCTCATGTTTTATATTACAATCAAAACGATGATAACAATATCTAGTAGTGTTTGAAAGAGTTTGTATTAAGGTTGTTTTAGATAAAATAAATTGTCATATTACTTTGAGAACAGTGGGATATGTATACCCCTCTGCAGTACACAATCATCTCACATTGGTTCGTGCATGGTCATATGTTTTTTTAAGCAGATAGGCTTGATATTTATCTAGTTCTTCAAGGCCTACTATCACTATCAAGCCTATCGGTATGTTCTCTTTTTGGCATTTGATTGTCTTCATTTTGCTCACAATCATTTGTCAATGTAGAATCAAGCTGATATGATGGCGTATGACTAGTACCAACATGATTCGTGTTCCATTCTTAGTTTCTGCAATAATCACATAATCTTCTAGGAAATGCTCATTCCATTCTTATTTGTGCTTGTAACACTCTTGAAAATTTAAAAATGTCTTGTATGCACCGAGATCAAAATCAAAATGTAATATTATTTTGAGTTTTATCACATTTTAAATAAAATATGGTCTGGAGATACATCTCCGTAAGATATTTGAGTGTATCCGGAGATGTATATCTGAAATGTACCACAAAAGATTTTTAAAACGTGATGAATTCAAAGAAGGATTATTTCGGAGATGCATCTCCGTAAGGTATTTGGGTGTATCTGGAGATGTATCTCCGAAATGTACCCTGAAAGGTTTTTAATACGTGGTGAATTCAAAGGAGGATTATTTCAGAGATGCATCTCCGGAGTCCTCCCTGATTCACGTCAAACCAGCACCATTATCCAAACATTCAATCTTTTTAAGACCAAAATATATACATTAACTTAAATTAACGTAAAATCAAAGTAAATTTAAATTTAAAGAAGGGTAAACATTCATACGTTAATAAAAAAAAGTAGTCAACATAATTCATACATAACAGGTGTCACAAAATACATTCGAAAATACCAAACAATATAAAAGCATTCCGATGTAAACTACTGGTATGTCTAACCACCTGCCTCCTCCGCCTCCTGTACCGCACAATATTCTGTAACTCAGAAACTATGGTCTGTACGACGGCTAACTAGGAAGAACCATCCTCAAAGAGTCATGCCTCTATGACTCTTATACCCATTTCCATAACACACCTACACAACGTCGTCACACTCTTTGTCTGTTCATTCTTACCTCCAGGTTAGCTGACCTAAGTGGTTCTCCAGGAGCGTGTGACATCATGATATGGTGTGACACCCTATAAAACCATATCATGTGGCCCTCAGCACAAGCCTAGTGTCTATCAGCTAGCTCTCGACGATATTCTTCTGGTACCAAGTGACTCTCAAAATTATCCAATATATCCTACAAGTCTCTACGGCGGACGCCGAGAGGAGTGACCTCATATGGAGGTCTCAATGATCTGGATATAGCCAAACTGGTGTATCTCTCGCTCTTGTAGATAAGGATGCATAAGAGATGACTCACATGTCATCCATCTAGAGTATGAGAGATGACGTCAAACATACGTATCTGACAGTGATCCTCGTATGGACATAAGCTAACGTCATCTAGTACCATACGACTAAGAGATACTCTAAATGCCTCGATAACACCATTCCATATGTATGGAACAAAAGTAGCCGCATGAAGCCATTCCTCATTGTATTGTGCCTCAGATTCCAGCTTGGTGATGCGAGGAAGTAGGAGATGGTCCATCCCAGAAATGAAGTATGCAAATATTAATAACATGTATAACAAATGAAGTGTAAAAATATTAGTAATAAGAAATTACCATAAACAACATGCAACACCTCGTCATGTGCTTTGTCTTTCAAAGACATCCCTCACCCACCTTCGAGTACAGGTAGACCAAACAGGCGGTCCCTCAGTTTTATTCATGAATAAAAGGAAAATATGCGAAGTAATTAAGGTATACGACAATGACATATGTAGCACTTTTGTCTACAAACATGGACGTGCTTACTGATAACTATATTTTACACCGTGTTTTTCGACACGATTTGCTTTGCATTTAATCCATTTTATCATTTATCATGTCGTTTGTGTTTGATTATTGCAGGTATTTTCCAAAGCCAAGAATTCAGACGTGAAATCAATAAAAGGTGCAAAAGATTGAAGAAAATGCAGAATTTGCAAGTTTCACTCACTTAACCATGGCGTTCTCCATGGATGCGCATAACAGAAAAATCGGGAAACAACTTGAACCAGTCCATACCACTTCTCCTATTTTCTCTCCATGATTCCACCACGACTTTTAACGTGTTTCAGAGGTTGTATTGAATATATAACTGTAGTTTTAACCTATTTTTGGTATCCAAGTTTTCACGCAGAAGCAGTTTAGTCTTAAACAAATATTTTCACCTTTGAATAGTGGTAGAGCTCTCACATCGGGAGATTACCACACCATTAGTCTTAGGAAATTCATCTATATATTGGATGAAATCGTGCCGACATATTTATTTCCAGTTTCATCATTGTACTCAAATAATTTGATTTGAAGTTTAATCCAATTTATTTTCCAGTATCTTCTTTAGGTTTATTTAATTGCAATTTTTTTATTCCACATGATCTTAATATATTACTTGTGTTGTTGCTGTCCCGTGTTATTATCATACCCGCAATAGTTTGTTTTAGATCTTAATCATGTTTAGGTTTGTGTTTTTTAATTACAATTGCATGTTTAATTCGAATACCATGTCTGACTAAATTGTTTTTAGTCTGGTATGTGAGGACCGCCGTTCTGGTGGGACTCGGTAATGATTTGGTGCAAATAATTTTCATAAAAATCACTCTTCTTTGGTTTAGTTTTTATTTTAATATTTTCAAAGGTCTTTCATGACAATGAATTCACTAAGGTTTCAAACCAATAAAAACGAGAGTGTGGAGTTTGTACCAGATAGTAAAAATTAGACATCAATTCTAAACACAGTAAGAGTGCTTTAGAATTGGTTAGGACTTATTAGTTTTCAAAGAGTATTTCATAAACTTAAATTTAAGCGAGAACAAAACGTTGGCGGTTTGGAAATATAACAAAGCTCAATAAAAACGAGAGTGTGAGACTAATGTTTTTAAACTAATATTTTCTTCAAAAAAATGAAAGATTTTAAACTATAGGGGATGTTAGAACATTGAGGGGAACTGGTGGAATATGTACCTTGTCAGCATAGACTTGACATTTGTGACAAGTACGGGAATGTTGATGGCAGTCAGCTTCCATGGTAGACCAGTAGTAGCCTGCCCTTAGAATCTTCTTAGCCATCGTATGTCCGCTCAAGTGGGTGCCAAACGTGCCACTATGTATTTCGGTCATGATCAACTCTGCTTCAACCTTGTCCACACAACAAAGTAGAACACAATCATGGCTGCGCTTATATAAGATACCATTGCTCAGGAAGAACTTGGAAGCAAATCTTCTTAAGAACTTTTTGTCATTGACGGAAGCTCCTTCAGGGTATTCTCGAGTCTGGAGATACCTTTTGATTTCATGAAACCAGGGTTGTTCCACTGCTTCTTCGATATTAATCTCATGACAGTACGCATGTTTATCCATTCGCTCGATGGTGATTTAGGGAGCCTCATTATCCCAGTTGAATTTAAACATGGAAGACATTGTAGCCAGAGCATCTGCTAGCTGATTTTCTTCTCGCGGGAAGTGCTCAAAGGTAATCTGCTCGAAATGAGGCAACAATGTCAAGACATGTTCTTTGTATGGGATAATATTAGGATGTTTAGTGTCCCACTCTCCTTTGATTTGACTGATAACCAAAGCTGAGTCCCCAAATACAATCAGAGATTTGATTCCCAAGTCAATATCAGCCCTGAGACCAAAGATACAAGCTTCATACTCGGCCATGTTGTTGGTACAGCTGAAGCAGAGTCTAGAAGTGAAAGGTGTATGACAACCTTCTGGAGAAATAAGTACCGCGCTGATACCGTTGCCAAGTACATTTGAAGCACCATCAAAGTATAGGGTCCATCGGGATCCTTGTTTAGGTCCGTCATACGGTCTGTTACCTTCAATGTTGTCCAATGTCATAATGTCCTCATCAGGGAAGTCGAACCTCATAGATTGGTAATCTTCGACGGCTTGATGAGCTAGATGGTCAGCTAGTACACTCCCCTTTATAGCTTTTTGAGTTGTGTACTGGATATCATATTCAGTCAGGATCATCTGCCATCTAGCGATTCTTCCGGATAAAGCAGGCTTCTCGAAGATGTACTTAATCAAATCCATTTTAGAAATCAGCAAAGTGGTATGTGTCAACATATACTGCCTTAGCCAGCGAGCAACCCATACCAAAGCACAACAAGTTTTCTCGAGCAGTGAGTAGCGAGTCTCACAGTCGGTAAACTTTTTGCTAAGGTAATAAATGGCATGCTCTTTTCGGCTAGACTCGTCATGTTGGCCTAGTACGCACCCGATTGAGTTATCCAAAACAGTCAGATACATGATTAAAGGTATTCCTTCGACGGGTGGCATCAAGATAGGAGGTTCCAGCAAATACTCCTTGATCTTATCAAAAGCAACTTGACAGTC